AATTTGTATTAGGACAAAAAAGAAATTCAGAGAGTGCAGCGATTAGAGGTGAACTGGGCCGACATACAATTAGATCTAAAAGATTGACAAGAATCATTAAATATTGGTTGAGAATTATTACATTGGATAGAGAGAGGCTGGTATATAATGCATATGTCGAACAGTGAAGATTTATAGATAATGACAGTGATTGTTGGGCAAGTTGCATTAGGTCTCTTCTGTTTCATTATGGATATGGGGAAGTCTGGATGAACCAAGGGGTGGGTGATGAAACGGCTTTCATTTATAATTTTAACAAACGATGCCAAGACATAGATGAACAAAATTGGTTTAACAGTATAAATAATTCAAATAAATTGAAACAATATGTTAAATTCAAGTGTACTTTTGGAATTGAAGCTTATCTCTCAATGAATATAAAACCGTATTTTAAACTGTTAATGACATCTTTTCGTATATCAAATCATAACCTTGAAATTGAAAAGGGGCGTAAAAACAATGTTAATTATAAAAATAGACTTTGTATTTGCCAAGATGGTAGTATCGAAGATGAGATTCATCTTCTTTTGTTTTGCAAGTTATATTCTGATTTAAGAAAAACATCTCCCATCATATTATATTAATTTTCCAACAAATGAAAAATTTTATCAAATTATGTCATCAAAAAACAGTAATATAATTAGAAAAGTATGTTTATTTATTTATCATGCATTTAAGAGAAAGGAAAACAAAGAAACACGGGTGTATTATTGAAATGTATTTAAAGTACGGTATTGTCACAGCACGCTTATTTAATTTGTAATAATTTTGTTTTACAAGGGGCCGGAGGCCTAGAGTTTGATGAATAAATTCCCTGTATGGGGAGCATGTAATAGAGCGTAATTCGAGATGTAAGTGGCCGCTGCGCAGAGAACGCACAAGACAAAATTAGGACGGACCTTGGGCACAGAAGAGAAACGGCTGCAGACCAAGTATTGATTATCCCCAACGAGCGACCAAAATCAGCCCTGGCAGAAAGCAGACTCGAGTCACAAATGGAGGCACACCCACAACCACATAAACGTACCACTACCACCAGATCTGGACGAAGTATCAACAAGCCGCTACATTTCCGCGACGAATACAAATGAACTCTTGAAATGTTTATGTTTTGATTGATAACTTTGTGTGGGAAAAGCAATGTTTGAAATGTCGCGCGCTGCCAGTCATCACACTCAAACAAAGACACAAACGACTGCAGAACGGTTCGACTTCGTTTATTGAAACAAGGAAACATCAAAATTTTCCAACAAAGGGAAAATGAAAAACCCCAACAAGTTAACGGCAATCATTAGCCTGCAACGACAACACAACAATTATCGGTCTCACAATATTATACTAAATCTGAACCAGTTAAATACATACAATAATTAAATAGGACTATTATAACCATCATTAAATGTATTTAAATGTATTGTAGCAAATAGACACAATAATCATTCGTAAACAACAACTACACATGTTTTATAGAATTGGCATTACGGTAATTAAATTTTCCCTTTAGATCAGCACATTATCAAAGATGTAATAGTCATAAGAATCACAATTATGAATCTTACATAAACAACAATACCGAAATTCAATAAATAATCGGCCATCTTGACTTACAGATCAACAATAGTCCTAACGATGCAAACGATACGGTACTAAAATCTTCTAATCCCAGTCCTCACAAATATAGGAAATTCTACTTTATTATGCTACAAAATTAAACAACGAAATACCAACTAATTATGAGTTCTAAACTATTTTTTCCAATAAACATAAAATATTCAATATGGTACCGTAGTCATTAACTAACACAGGTAATTATCACTAATAAAGCAATGCTACAACCATGAACAATGCAATAGTCTACATTATCACAGAATCATTATCAACTATAAGAAATGTAATTAACATCAACATATATATTTATTTTTGGATTATTTATTTATTGTTACTACTATAATAATACAAATTCATTACATGATCAAATTCATTACAGAACAAACTATACGCCTACCTTAATTCGGTTAATCATCCTATAGCATCAGACACGACTAACCGTATCAACGTACTATTGTCGACTGATGGATTTTAGCATTCAAACCTGCCGCGCCCAACCCCGAACTAATTACCATACCGGTGTATCGCACACAATAAATATTTTACAACCAGACGTTTCGACTGTTTCGAATCCTACAATCCATCCAGACAAACGATTATTGTCCCAATGATTATTATACCTATTTTAATACATATAATTTAACTACATTTATACAAACAACAAACATAACATAGTGAATACATCTTACCTACAATTACAGTATGACCTATTTCCTCTAATTAATCAATTTCACTGTAAATAGGGTGGTAAGTTATGAGGATTAGGATGCTTCCCTTTATTACTCCGTTTAGACCGGTCGTATATGAGGTGTAGGTGTCACTTTTTGCAGAATTTACCAGACCAACTTTTTCTAATGTATTTTTTGACGTAGATTACGAATCTGAGTGTTGATCGGTCCGGGGAGGGGGCTTTTTCGAGATATGTGGGGTCAAAGGTCAAATCTGGCATATTTAAGGAAGGGGGTCATAAAAGTGAATTAGTGTACCAAAATAATGTTTTCTAATGTAATTTAGGTCATAGATTCCAAAAATGACAGTAAATTGGACAGGTATGGAGTCGTTCAAAAGTTATTGGGGTCAAAGGTCAAATAAGACATAATCTGGGAAAGGGTGTTGCCTGTGTGATAAATGTGAAAAAAGAAAAATTTTTGACATATTTTTGGGCGTAGAATCCGATTTTAAATGTTGATTGGTCCAGGGAGGGGTATTTTTCGAGATATGAGGGGTCAAAGTTCAAATTCAGCATATTTAGGTCAAAAGTGCATTATTTTACAAAAATAATGTTTTCAATGTAATTTAGGTCATAGATTCGAGAAAGAATGACAGTTGGACAGGTATGGGATT